AAAAAAAATCTTCAATTTTCATAGAAACATTGGTTTATTTCGATAGACATTCTGAATACAAAGGGCTAAAACAAATGAGTAATTGTTAACATAAAATAATGGGACATTTTAATAAAATTAATTTTTTCTTGAATATTAACTTACCGGACACTGAATAACTGCACAAATTAGTAAGCATAATGCAAGTAAACCTATTTTTCTTGTTCTCCAAAAGCGAAATATTTCCTGTTGCGCACACCAAACAAGTCATTCCAAGACTAATGATGTGGCAAGCGGCTGCTAAAATATTCGCTGCTAGTATTAGTAGAGAGAAATGGTGCACCTGCACGTAAAGCACATAAGGGAAATGAATGCAACACGATTATAGTAATCAGTCATTAGTAAACGTTGTCATTCATTATTAATAATTATGTATAGCAGGATATTGTAAAAATTACATTACAAAATTTTTATTAAAACTTTTCTTACATACTGTTATATTGACTGGACTGCAAAAATATTTGTTGTAGGCCACGAGTTTGACATGCTTGCTGTATGTGATAGAACCTTATATAATAAAGACATAATATGCAAATGGTCATTACACCATGAAGTATAACGACTGATCACATAATGACTGGATTATGGATCAGCAGGAGGGTGGGGTAACAAGCTACAAGCTGGCAGCAGAGAGCTATAGGAGGTGCCAGGGCAGCAAGCTATGAGGGGGGGTAAGGGGGCTACAGGAGGATGGGGCAGCAGGCAGAGAGCTACTAGAGGGCAGCAGCGAGCACTGGTGCACCAATTCCTGCACAGGGCTACTAGTGTATTTCTAGGAATTTGTCCATTTTACCTAAATTATCTAATTTTTTGGCATAAAATTTTTCAGAATATTTCCTTATAATTGTCTTCATTTCTGTTCACTCAGTAGTTATGTTCCTTTTTCATTCTTTATATTGGCAATTTTGTCTTCTTTCTTGTTTCTTAGTCATTCTAGCTTTTGGTTTCATTGCTTTTCTCTATTGTTTTCTGTTTCCTCTCTCATTGATTTCTGATCTAACCCTTACTCCTTTTTTCTGCTTGTTTTGGGCTTAATTTGCATTCTCTAATTTCTTAATTTGGTAGCTCAGATTATTGAATTGAAACTTTTCTTTTTTTCCAATTAAGCAAATAAATTTCCCTATTAGTTTTGCTTTAGTTGCATCCCACAAATATTAATAGTTGTTTCATTTTCATTCATTTTAAAACCTCTAATTTCCATTATGATTTCTGGTTTGACTCATGGGTTCATTATAAGTGTTTCACTTAATTTTCTAATACTTGGGGATTTCCCAAATTACTTTCTTTTTGTTATTGATTTCTAAAGTACTCCTGTTATGGTTGGAGAATATACCTTTTATGATTTCAGGTCTTTTTAATTTATTGAGACTTGTTTTATGGCCCACATATGCTCTATGCTGAGGAATATTCCACGTGCTTTTGAAAAGAATGTGGATTCTTCTGTAGTTAAGTAGAGTGTCCTATAATTAGGTCAATTGGCTGATAGTGTTGACATCTTCTAAATCTTTACTGATTTTCTGTCCAGTTATTCTATCAGATTTTTTCATGTGTAGTATTGAAATCTTCAAATATAATTATTGAACTTGTTATTTCCCCTTTCATCTGTCAGTTTTGCCTTAATGTATTTCAGGATTTGGTTGTAAAGTGTATATATACTTGTAATTACCATATCTTCCTAATGAATTGGCCCTTTTATGTTTCTGAAATATCCCGCTTTGTCTTGGGGAATATTCTTGCCCTAAAGTTTATTTATCTGCTATCAGTATAGACACTCAGACTCTCTTATGGTCACTGTTTTCATGGATTATGTATTTCTATCTTTTAGCTTTCCACCTACATATACTTTTGAATCTAAAGTATGGCTTCTGTAGACAGCATAAAGTTGGGTTTCTTTTATCCAGTCTGACCACCTGCTGTTTGATTGGAGTATTTAATCCAGTAACATTCACATGATTATTTTGTCTTGTTGGATGTATGTCTGCCATTTTGTATTTGTTCTCTATGTATCTCATGTTTTCTTTTCTCCTTTTCAGCTTTCTTTTATAAAACAGATCTTTTTGTTAAACCATTTTAATTCATCTGCTGATTTTTTAAAACTACGTTTGTTATTTTCTAAGTCTTTGATCTGATAATTGCAAAGTATATCCTAACTTTTTACAGACTACTTAAACTTATAAACGACTTAATTCTAATAAATATAGCAATTTTATTCCAGTGCATTCAACTTCTTCCCTGTTCATTTGTACCATGATTTTCATATCTATACATGTCATAAACTCAACAGTATTGAATTATTAATACTGCTTATGCAATCTTGATGTTTTTTAAAGAAATTAAGAAAAGAGAAAAATACATACAAATGTGCTGTGTTTTTTTTATATTTACCATTTCCAGGGTTCTTCGTTTCTTTCTGTAGATTTGAGTTACCATCTGCTGTCATTTCCTTTCAGCGTGAATAGCATCATTTAGTCTGATGAGGCAAGTCTGCTAACAAAAGAAATCATTCTTTGCTTATTTGGAAATGTCTTTATGTCACCTTCATTTTTTAAAATATATTTGTATTGATTTCAGAGAGAAAGGTAGAGGGAGAGATAAAAACATCAATGATGAGAGAGAATCATTGATTGGCTGCCTCCTACACACTCCTTACTGGGGATCAAGCCCACAGCCTGGGTATGTGCCTTTGACTGGAATCACACACAGGACCCTTTAGTTCCCAGCACTCTATCAACTGAGCCAAACCAGCTAGGGCTCACTGTCAGTTTTTGATGGATGGTATTGCTAGATATAGCATTTGTGGTAGATAGGTTATATTCACTCCCTACCCCCTTTCACCACTTTGAATATCTTATTCCACTGTCTTCTCCCTCCATTGTTTCTGATGAAAAGTCAGCCATTGCTCATATTGTTGTTTGTCTGTACATAATGTTATTTTATCTTGCTGCTTTCAAGATTTTCTCTTTCTGCTGTTATTTCTTCCAAGATATTTTCTGCCACTTACTTGGTCCCTTCTCCTTCTGGGACTCCCATAATTGGTATATAGGTTATTGTCACACTGATCTCTGAGGTTCTGCTCATTTTTCTTCAATATTTTTCTTTGTCTTCTTCGAGTGTATAATTTCTATTGACAAATGGTCAAGTTCACTGATTTCTCTTCATTTCATCCATTGTAGTTTTCAACTTTATAATTTTTCTAGTTCCTCTTTCTCTATTGTGGTTCTTTATTTGTTGAGATATCATCATGATAATTTCTTTTAATTCTGTAATCATAGTTTTCTTAAACTCTTTCAATATATTTATTGAAAGTAACTATTATATAGAGAGAAAGAAAGCAAATAAGCAGGTAGCACTGCTTGTTTGCTTTCTCTCTCTCTATATATATAATAGCTACTTTGAAGTCTTTGTTAAATCCAACATTAGAACCACTCAGAAACAGATTCTATTGACTATTTTCCTTTCCCTATTATAGATTGCACTTTTTCTTATTTTCTTTTTGACATATCATAATTTATTTGTTGAAAATTTAGACATTTTAGATGGTATATTATAATAGCTCAGGTTCTGATATTTTTAAGTAGCTTTCCTGAACATAATATACAGGATTTATCTCCCCTGCAGGTTTTTGGGTTTTTGTTTGTTTGTTTGTTTGTTTTACTTATTTTTATTTTATGAGCCTGGATTTCTAGGGGGTTTCCCCTTTATGTGCATAGCTTAGTGGCCAGCCAATGATTGAGCAGAAGTTGTACCAAAAAAACTCCAACCCATAAGGCTCCCATACCCTGTCAAGTGATTTGTATGTGTGTTTAGGAGCACATTCCAAGTTCAGCCAAGCCTGCCTTGGCTTTGGCTTTTCACTGGGGTCATCCCAGTATGTGCACATACTTTGCAAGGAATAGGAGATGTACATAGCGCTCCCTGACACAACTATGGCTGTCTCTCATTTCCAGTATCTCCACATCACATTGCTGTTAGGTCTGTCGCTCACCCCAACTGCAACCTTGGGCTAGCAGAACTGTGGACATTTCCCCATTCATTTCCCTACCAAGTTTGCTACTTTTACTGACAGTGATACACGGCCTGGGTTTTGCCCTCTGCTCCAAATCAAGTCGTCCTTCTCTGGCAGCCCTGCCCTGGTAACGCCATCATTCTAGTCAACTAAGCTAGGAGGCGAGATGGGGATGTTCTTACCTGAAGTTCTGCCAGCTTTCTATGAATAAACACTTCTTATGGTGGGGGTTTTTTTGGTTATTTTCTTTGTTTGTTTTTTTACTTCGGTCATTATTCAGAGCCCTGAAAAGTTTGTTTTAATGATTGCTCACATTTATACTTATAGAGGAGGTAAATTTGCCAGCCTCTTTACTCATAGCTGGAAGACACTGGTAGAGGGATTTTGCTAGTCTATACAAAGTTTCTATAGAATCTTTAGGGTGTGATTATAATGAAAGATCTCATCTTTGACCCCTTGTGCATTTTGACCCCTTATTTCCCAGAATGCCAAGCCCTCCTCCTCAAAGAGCTTTCAGTGCCTGAGTTTCCCTGAGATGGGTAATGACCAGCTCCAGAAGCTTTCATTCCACTCATTCCACCGTGGACAGTTTGACTGCCAAGTCGTATCTCCGCATGCTTCTATCCGCTTCAAATCCAGCTCTTTGCCTATTAAGCCACCCAAAGGCAACAGGTGGGACCTGTTGGGGGCAGATGTGTTGAAGAAAAATAGCCTCGTCACTGGCTTGTTTCACTTCCATTTTCCTCTGTCATCTGGGAATATAATATAGATCATCTCAGGCCCAACAAAAGGTACATTCTGATATGATTTTCAGTCTTTTGTCTTGACAGAGAAGACTGAGCTTGGAGATCAGAAATACCCACCACAAAAAATGAGAAGGCTGGGCTCAGTGGAAGGCCAGAGGGGGTAGCACTGCTTGTTCGCTTTCTCTATATATATTCCTTTCTTGAAAAAGAAAGAAGCTTAAACCCCACCACCCACTCATCGGGTGATCGGAGACTGGAGTTGTAAAAATGTGCTGCAGGCATAAGTTCTGAAAAAATCCCAGAAACTGTTGAAAACATCTCTAAACAAGGTATTTTTCTCCTGCACCTTTCTTGCTAAAGGTCCCAATTGCTGCCAAGAAAACTAGTGAGAATGTTAGCTGCCAAATAAAAAATTTATGATAGTGTTTGGCAAAGGACTATCTCGCTGCTTGTTTTATACATTTCCACGAGGCACTTGAAGGCGGCCTATTTTCCTTCACCTCCTCCCCCGCCCCCCACTCTGGGTACGTATAACTTACCGATCCCTGGGTCTGTTCTCTAATGAAACAGCAAACTCCTATAAAGTAAGATTAAACAATATAACTTTCCTCCCCTTCGGTCACCTCTGAAATGTGAGAGAAATGTTTTCCAATACGCTGTGTTGCAGAGAAACAGAAAGGGTTTGCTTGGTTAGAATGGACACATGTGTAAGAGAAAGAACAAGAACCTCTCATTAGAAAACATAGACTCCTTCGTGGCAAAAGGCATCCTTGAAATCCCTGTCCTTGCAAATGTCCACTCCCGACACTTTGCAGACAAGGAAATGGGGGCCTAAAAGGAGACCGTGTTCTGCCCGAGGTCACCCCGCCAAGCCCACCTGAGATCAGAGCCTGGCTGTCGCTTCAGCCACCATGCTCAGCCCCTCAGCCCACAGCCCGACATTGCTTTTGTGTGTCTGGGCTCTCATACACACGTGCACTTGCAGCATGTTTTACAAGCGTTGGAATTTCAGGCTACTCGGCTTAATAAAAATAAAAGCATTTCCTTCCCACCCTGGCCTGTGTGTCACAGTGGTTAGAGCATTGCCCCTCACACCCAAAGGCTGTGGGTTTGATTCCCATCAAGGGCACATACCAGGGTTGCAGGTTCATTGGGCCCCAGTTGGAGTGCGTGATGTGACTTTCTCTCACATCAATGTGTTTCTCTTTCTCTCTCTCTCTCTCGCCCTCCCTCCCTTTCTTCCTTCCTCCCTTCTCTAAAAATCAATGGAAAAAAATATCCTCGGGTGAGGATTAAAATTTTTCCTCTCAAATATTTTTTACAAAATCTAAGGCATAAAAACGAGTCAAGATAGGGCTGTGATACTCCTGAAAAGGCACTGCCTGCCACATCAGTCCAGCCTTGTGGCTGTGTCGTTAATGCCTCCAGGAGGCTTTCCAAAGGGCGGGAAGGGGATGCTGTATTTGGGGGGGAGATGGGAATTTCCTTGTATCGAGTTTGGATGTTGCTAGTAATAATTACATAGGCTGGTGTTGAACACCCTGGAATATTTTGCCTGCCTGTGTGAGAAAACAAAATGATCTGTCTCAGTCTTTTCAAAACAGGGAACAGATTATGCTTTTGGTGGTTAATTAGTGCTGTTCGCACACGTGTCATCATTCCAGCCCATGCGGAAGCCTCATGCACCCTCGTTCGTGGCCTCCCTCAGTCTGTCGAGGCACCTGCAGTCACTGTCACCCGCTCGGTGATGCCCCAGTGCGGGGCCGGCGTGGCTGCCTTGGGCGGCAGCTGCATTGTGGAAGCGAGTGTTACTTGATATAAAGCACTGTGGACAGACCGGGAGTAAGCGGATTATTCCAGACAGAGTTAGGAAGCAACCGGGGGACGATTAGCTTGACAGGAGGCATATCGCATAAGCAAATTAAAAAACCTCCCCAATTAGTGCAGGAGACCCACATTTGTGCTGTTTGTGATTTGCTGAGAGGCAGCGTGTCCATGTCCTGGGCTCTGTGATTTACGTTGAAACGTTGGCATTTCGTAACGATGCACATTAGCATCTGAGGCTGGGCACTGGCTTGAAATAAAGTTAAGTCCCTCTTCTCGTCAGCTGCCAAGTAGTCCCAGTATGAGATCCTATATGTTGGGGACTGTTGTACTTGGCCCGGGAGTGGTCTCTGGGGCACACTGTAATATCTCTATACAGGAGCTATCCGACGTGACTCTGACATCCCACATTTAATCCCTCTTTTGCTTGTCTTGCGGAGTATGTACCACACTGAAGTCGTAAAACTGGAGTGTGCAGAATGCCAGATGCTACAAATGCAATTAAATGCTTAAAAATAGCTTCCTTGGTGGCACTGCTGCAAATCAGATGGGGTCTTGTGTTTCCAAACCAGGTGGCACTTTCCTGCTAAGCTACTGCTCGTGAGCTCCAGAGGAGGCACGGGTCCCCTTCTGAGGCCACCGTGCAAACAACCGGGTCATGGCAGGAATCAGACCAGGCACCGCTGTCCGTCCAACATCTAGGCAGTCCCACATGTTGTTGTTTGTTTTCTCCAAGTGCACCGTGAAGCCACCTGTTCCTTGACTGCTGATGATTTTCTGTCAAGTTGAAGGTGACAAAGGCCCTCAATAGACTGAGCCCAACTTGTGTAGATCGGAATGCATTTGAAATAAATGGTTATTTTACCAGAAGTCAAACTACCGTAAAGCTCAGACTTTATTTTACACTCTTACCCAAGGAAGAAGATGTTTTTGTATATGAGGGTAGAGGCTGAATTGCTTTTTTCTGATAGTAAAAATGATGCATGTTTATTACCGCAAAAAAATCTAGAAAATGCAATGACTCATAAAAGATTCTTTAAATATTGCCATGATCCCTCGCCTAAACACAGTTATTACTGTCATTTCTATGTCTGTGTTTCCAATTTTTAAAAAAATATATTTTATTGATTTTTAACAGAGAGAAAGGGAGAGAGATAGAGAGCTAGAAAAGTCAATGAGAGAGAAACATCGAACAGCTGCCTCTTGCACACCCCCTACTGGGAATGTGCCCACAACCAAGGTACATGTCCTTGACCGAAATCAAACCTGGGACCTTTCAGTCCGCAGACTGACACTCTACCACTGAGCCAAACCGGCTTCGGCTGTGTTTCTAATTTTTGTTTTAAGTTTATATTAATATATGTATTTTTCTTTTGGCAAAATTGGGTCAGAGTGTACTTGCTATTTACAACCTTTGCTTTATAATTGATATATTATAGATATTATGGTTTTAAAAACTTGGACAAGATCTTCTTATGCCTCTGAATCCTCAAGAACAAATTTTTCCATATAGCTTTATCATTGATTCTATTTTTTCTTTGAAAATTATTAGTATCTGAATGGCATTTGTGGCAACTCTCAACACACTAATGTTATATAAAATATTATCATATTATGTTCCTTGAGCAGAAGTTTTCATTTTCTATTTTTACATGAATGATCTCATTTGAAAATCACAAGAACCTATAATGTGGGGGAAAATATGTTATTATCCCTGGTTTTATTCATAAATGCAAAGTAAACTACAGTGTAAGATGCACTGGGATGCCAGCCATTACTCTTCGCACCACGTATAGCACATGGTCTTTGAAATAAGGTCTAATTTTAAATACCAACTTTTCCAGTGATTAACTAGATCCTAGGCAAATGAACCTCCCTAAGCCTCAGTATCCCCAATGAAAAATGGGTGCAGTGATACCTTTGTCATAGATTTGTTATGATGATTAAATAACAAAATTTGCATGAAATACTCAAAGCACAAAGTAAATTAAAAAATAAATTTTACCATTTTTTTCTCACACACATTTCATCTTACTTTTGTATAGCATTGCGAATAAATTATTTATTTTTCCAAATTACTCAATTCCGAGGTCAGCATTATTTTAAATAATGATTATATATGTAATATGAACATTTAAGAAAATTAACAAATGTATAAACATGGAAAGAAAAAAATAGCCACCCCCAAAACACAAACACTGTTAACAGGTGGCTACATTTCCTTCAAGTCTTTTTTCTTTTTCTGTGCAGAGTCTTGTCATTTGTTTTTAGACACATCCACTCCTGTCTTCAACTAGTGAAACAGAGGTGGGAGTTAAGGTGTGTGTTTTGGAGAACGTGTTCTGTGTGTCACCACACTCTGCTCTTGTTTCCAAGGTTATAAAAGAGATGCCCCTTTGCGATCCTGCTTCCACTGGCAGGAAGCCAAAAGAGGGGTCCGATGGGATGCGTGTCATGGTGGAGGTACAATGATGATGTATGAAGAACCTGAGGTGTCTGAATGCACTGGTCCTGGAGCCTTGGAGCAAACCGGCTCCTCTGGACACGACTTCAGCAGGGGCCACATCTGTCAGGCCCCACGTCAGCCTGTGGTCACCCTGGGTTGGGCAAATCAGAAGGACTCCACTGGAGTATCTTCAGCCACTAGACTCTCCAAAGGTGTCTGTTCAGCCCTGGCCAATTTGGCTCCGTTGGTTGGAGCATTATCTCATGCACCAAAAGGTCGCTAGTTCGATTCCTGGTCAGGGCACATGCCCAGGTTTCAGATTCAGTCCCTGGTCAGAGTGCATACGGGAGGCAACCAATCAATGTTTCTTATGTTTCTCTCTCTCTCTCTCTCTCTCTCTCTCTCTCTATATATATATATATATATATATATATATATATATATATATATATATATATACATACAGATACATACATACATACACGTGTGTGTGTGTGTGTGTGTGTCCTTTCCTCTGTAAAAATCAATTTAAAAAAAATTTTAATAAAGGTGTCTGTTCAAGCTGAAGGGGAAATTCCTACCGCCCAGCCTCTCCTGTCAGCTAATTTGATAGTTCTCTACCAGGTAAACCATTAGTGATATCAAGAATACATTGATTCTTTTTCTTCTTTTTTTTCCTGGCTCCCCCCCCTCCCCTTTTTTTTTCTTTCCATTCTGCTTTGGCTATTCCCAGGATTTCTGTGAACCAGTTGGGCAAAATTGATTTTTGTTAGTTTCACTGGCCTTGTGGAAAATTATCTCATGAACTGGTTTTTATAGGAAGACTCAAAGCACAGCCCAGGGTGGAAAATAAGCCTGTAGCAGTCAAAGCTGTTGTCTGAAATGTCTTCAGACTGGAAAGCTGAATTTATTGCACAAAACAAGTACTAGCAAGGCGGAGGTGTGCAGGGCTGCTCATTATCACGGGCAAGGGGAACCAGAAAGCCAAGTAAAAAATTAAATTTTAATAATGCCAGTGATATTTCCTAAATCTTTCCTGACAGAAGGATTCTCATTATT